GTGTTCTTTGGCTCAGGTTGGCATCCCAGAGACGCTGGCTAATCCTCTGCAATTTCCCCCAAGGAGACCACATCCGTTTTCCTGTAAACACCCTCAGATTTGAGGAAGATGGGATAAATCTGATTAGCTGGGTCCATACGTTTCTCTCAGCTTCACCAGAACTAGTGTGCATTTCAAGAACACGGAATAAATGCCACAAAAACAGATCACATACTATAGAAAATAACTCTCTGGAAAAATACTTTTCAAATAATCCTCTAAAAACTAGCTTTCCTAAAACTCCATGCCACTTAAATTCTAGATGATACATCTTTTTATTTAAAATTTCATCTTATACACCTGCTCCCTCTAGTGGTATAAAAAAGCTTGAGTTGCCAAGGATCTGAAAATAGATTTGGAAAACAGAATTTAGAGAAACAATTAGAAAGTTCCAAAGCAGCAATGGAAATAACTTGAAAAAAAAACTTGAAACAAGCAAATTGAATAAACAGTGGGAAAACACTGTAATTAATTCTTACTGATAGTCAAATCACATAGAAAGCTTTACAGTTAATAAGTAGTCCTAATATCTCTCCAGGGCTGTTTTTGAGAGACATCTGTCAAAAATGTAGTATTATGACCTTAGAAGAGTGAAAAGTGAAAGTTTAATAAACAGCTAGTTTAATTTATATTTATAACAAAGTGAAAATTAGAAAAGGAAGCTCTTCAAGTTCAGAAGCCTCCTCTTTCCAGGTCACACGTCCTTAATGTTGAATTTTCCTGAGAATAACTTCATTCAAGGACCGAGCTTCTTTTCAGGTTTAGTTCTGTAGGAAACCATTGTGACTTAACTGCATGCCCTTAGAGTTATCAGGTTGCCAAGCTGTACGTTGGTAAATCCCCTTGAAAACTAAAGCAGGCCAGTTTGTCGGGGTATTTGTGCATGTACATGGATATGTGTGCATGTGCATATGTGTTTTTTTTAAATATATTTTTATTAAAAAACTGTGGTACATCTATATAATGGAATACTACACTGCTGAAAAAAAGGAAGGAACTCATACCATTTGCAACAGCATGGATGGATCTAGAGAGCATTATGCTAAGTGAAATAAGTCAGTCAGAGAAAGATAAATATCACATCATCTCACTCATTTGTGTATTATAATGAACAACATAAACCGATAAACAAAAACAGATCCAGAGACAGAGAAGCGTCAATCAGATGCTCAAACCTCAGAGGGAAGGTAGAGGAGGTTGGGGGTAAGGGGGAGAGATCAACCAAAGAACCTGTATGCATGCATATAAGCCTAACCAATGGACGCAGACAACAGGGGGTGAGGGTGAGGGCAGGACTGGGGGGAGGGGAGGCAATAGGAAGATATGGATACATATGTAATACCTTAATCAATAAAGAAAAAATATTTTTTATTGATTTCAGAGAGGAAGAGAGAGGTAGAGAGATAGAAACATCAATGATGAGAGAGAATCATTGATCGGCTGCCACCTGCATGTCCCACACTGGGGATGGAACCCGCGACCCAGGCATATGCCCTGACTGGGAATCTAACCCTGACCTCCTGGTTCATAGGTCGATGCTCAACCAGTGAGCCACCCCACCTGGCCACATATGTGTTTTAATTGCAATTGAGTTTCTTTGAAAAGACCTTTCCTTTTTTTTCTTACCCCAACACATATGAGCTGTTCAGCCATCACTCATGCACCCACTCCACCCCCATAGGTGAACATAACTGCTTGTTGCTGACAGTTCTGAAACAGAGCTGTCATTCAAGAGTGGCAGCTCTGCAGGGCTTCACTGCCCCAGCATGCCACTTTCCTGGTTGTCATTCATCGGAAAGCACCTGCTTTGCTCTGTGACTGTCATGCAGCCTGGGCATGCATCAGAACGTACTCCACCCCCAGCATCAAATTGAGATGTCCAAGTAGCGTGCATGGAGCCTGCAGAATCGAGGCACCAACATGGCAGAAGGGACACTGCTGAGAAGGCACATGCGGTGCTCTAAACAGTACTTCTCAGACGTCATTGTGCATATGGACCACCTGCAGCAATTGTTAACATACAGCTTCTGATAGTCGGGCTGGGCTGGGGCCTGAGATTCTGCATTTCCAATAAGCTCCCAGGTAATGCTTAGGCTCCTGGTCCATGGACTACACTTTGAGTAGCAAGGCACTAGAGCAGGGGTCCTCAAACTTTTTAAACAGGGGGCCAGTTCACTGTCCCTCAGACCGTTGGAGGGCCGGACTATAGTTTAAAAAAAAAACTATGAACAAATTCCTATGCACACTGCACATATCTTAATTTGGAAGTAACAAAACAAAACGGGAACAAATATAATATTTGTATTTGCATGTGGCCCGAGGGCCGTAGTTTGAGGACCCCTGAAAACAAAACGGGAACAAATACAATATTTGTATTTGCATGTGGCCCACGGGCCGTAGTTTGAGGACCCCTGCACTAGAGTATACCAGTTTTCAGAAACTATTCTTTTATGAATAGTTGAGAATTAAAAACCCTGGGAACCGTGAATCTGCACATCTTGCGACTGTTTACAAGCAAAATAGTGCATAAGCCACCACCAGAAGTCCTACTTTTCACATAATAGGAACATTTTAAATTGGCAAGTTCCTTTATAAACTTAAAATTACAAGATGGTCATGAATCACACACAATTTCTCATCTATTAAAGCATGGCTTTAAATTAGCAACATCTAGTTAACCACCTTTTAAAGATCTTCCTAGCCCTGGTTTATTAATGCAGCATATTTTAAATAAGTCCCATGATTTAAGTAAACCAAAACTAGTGGTGTGGGCAGATGGTAGAAGGAGCACCATCACAAAACCTGCCACTCAGAGTGTAACAGATGACCGTGGCAGCCCAGAACTATCCCTTTGTTCATTTTGCTAATGAGTGTCCTCATTGCTGTGAGAGTCTGAATAGTTAATTACTTGCAGTTCCTACAGTGAACAGATGGCGGGGACAGAGCTAAAGGTTAACCTTAGAAGAACAGGAGCTGTAGATGGCTATGTGGAGAAAATAAATCTGAGTTAAATGTGTTTTCCTTGTTTCCTACTTTTAAACAATATTTTTTAGAAAATGAACTTAGGTATTAGCTGCTGCCAGTTACAAATTTTAGACTTCACCTGATTAATTCAAATAGTTCTTGTTTATTTTATGGCAACGGCACTCATGTAATCCACTGTGGATGTTCGTATTTTGTCACTGTTAGGAAACGTATGCATAAGCCTAGCAAGGCAAATATTACTTGTTTGTTATTTAAAAACCCTTTTAGACCATAAATCAATAAATTTCTTTTTAGTCTGTAAATATATTCTGTAATCATTTCAAATTTAACCCTGTGGGACAAGACATTAATAACTGGATTTCTGCGCTAATAAGAAAACATAACTATTAGATATTTAGTTAAGAATGAATCAAGCTCAAATAATTTAAATGAAATGGTGAATCAAACTCATGAAGATTTGTAATTGGGCTTAGGCAAAACTTAACATTATTTTAAATATTAACTCTGACCTAACTACTTCACTAAGTTGCTTGATTTGTAAGAAATTATTGTTATACAAGACATTATACACACTTATTTTTCTTTTAGGCCATTATGAGCACAGAGGAAAATATTTTTTTGAAACTATTTTAATAATTTACTCCCAGGTATCTCTAAAGTTAAGTAAAAATACAATTCCAAAAGGAAAGCAGCACATTGGGAGGAATGATTTTGGTTTTGAGGCGAAACCTTATTCTTGTGTATCTGCAGCCATGACATTGCTATGGAAAGATAGGTTAGAATTCATCTAAAGATTACTTCAAAGTTCAAAAGTATTTCTAGTGTCTATCGATTTTGAAGCAAGGCATGTAGAACCTTCTATCTCTTTTAGCCTAATATAATGACCTGTAAGCATACTCTTTAATAGTTTGAGATGGCATAATCAGGTTAATATTTTACCACCATGAAGCATAAAGTTCTGCACCAGCTTCCCCAATCCATTACATCTTAATTTTAAAAGTAACGTGTGGCAGTAAAATGTAGACAGCCGTAAGCGAGTATACTCAGACGTCTCCAATAGCTTTGAAACAAGACAAGAAGAAGAAGAAGAAAAGAAGAGTCGCTGTCCCAATAAGCTTCTATTGCGTAAGAAAAAGCCTCTCCCATAATGGACGTGGCAAGGTTTAAACAAAAGACTCACATAATAAAAATGTAAATGAGTTTGCTTTACTAAAACTATAACTTTAAAGTCTTTTGTTGTAAGTTATCCTGAAACCTTCTTACAAGGTAATCACTGTTTGCATAGAGATTTAAACCGAAGTCTTCAATAGCATTAAACGCCTGCACAGCCCCAGTGTGACAGGCATGCAAAGCCATGTTAATGTTCAGAATATGAATTGCCTCTGGGTGGCTCCTCCACCAAGCAGAAAACCAACTGTGTGGATATCCGAGTGCCTGATGGACTCCATGCGGCTCCCAGCCTGAAAACGTCACCACTTTGACATGTGATGTGCTCCTCATGACACCGGCAGCGCTGACACTGAGAGATGCCACAAAGGCAACAAGCCTCCCTCCTTCACGGTGCACTTTGCCACCCCCTGCCGCTGCCCGTCCACGGTCTCCCCAGCCTGCCTAGTTACAGGCAGACAGCACTTCAGACACACACAGGGGGAAATGTGGGTGAGGGGCCCCAGCTGCCTCCCCGGACATAGCCTCCATAATGAATTGACCTGAATGATGAGGGCACACAAACAGTATGATATGCATTATTCCTGTCAATAAAATGTCCCCATGTGCTGTGGTCTTTGTACAGAATGTACTGCAGCCTTTCTTCCAGCAAGCTCTATTTAATCCCCTTCCTTTTTGCTATTCATATTGTAAGTGTGTAATAGAATTCAGAAAATTATATGATAGCTCTTCTGTATCTGTCTTGTCTTGTGCTGCATATTTAAATTCTTGGCTCCCTGCTTACAAATATGGAATTCCCCATCTTTCAGGAAGCTTTGGCAACAGAGGCCGACCCTGAAAAAGCTTCAGTGAAGGATCATTTGGAGTACAAAGTGGAAAATGAGAGACTGCTTCAAGTCGTTGCAGAACTCGAAGAAGTAGCCCAACTCAATCTAAAAGAAAATGCATTTTTAGGTAATATTTTAAAGTCATTTTTAAGGGAAATCTATATATTGGGCACTTTATAAAATTCATAGCTATGTTTGTCTTTTCCAAACACACATTTGTCTGGTTATTTACATTTGAAAGATCAGTTTGATAGCCATCTTTGATTTTCATTTAAAATGGCATTTCTTGCTTGGGACAGGGAATATATGTAAATATTATAATTATACTCCTGAGCCATGTCATTTTAACTCAGGGCTTTTCTAAGTTTTTTTCTTTCAAGCCAAGCATTGACCTTTGAAAAAATGTGCTAATCCATGCTCTATTTTACTTAGAAATGTTATAAAACAGAAACCTTTGCCAATTTCAGTTTCTTATGCTTAATTAGTTATGTAAAATTTAAAACTTATAAATACATATTGAGGTATGGCTTGTGGAGAAACAGGGTTAGCCCTTCAGAAATATATGCTCTGACTTACTACTTAATTATCTTCAATTTTTGGTACAGATTTTCAGTACAAATGTTCATTTGTATCCCCCCTTTTTTACATACCATAAACATTGGTGAGAGTTTCATTTTAACCTCCAAAGTTATATTGCTTTAAGCAGTTTTTTTTCACTGACTGTTATCTTTGTATTTATATTAATTATATAATGTTGCTCTTCATCTGCAGTATGAAAGGTAACGAGTAAGCAATAAAGAAGTCACAAAATATAGATAAAATCATTTCTATTACCATATCTCTTAAATATACAGTTGTACTGTGCCAACGTAGTTTGGCTTTTCTTCTGATGTGGTGTAATAGTGCTCTTTTAGGTCCTGGTAGTGCTGACTGAGTCAAAACGTGCCACCTGCCGAAGCACTTTGTATAGGCTGTGACCAGCAGCAAAAGTGTCCATGGCGAGTATTGATGAAAAGCTTTCAGCCCTCGGCCACACTTGGATCTTGAACTTAGTTCTTAATCCCTATCTGACCAGCCTTCTTAACAGCAGGAAGAAGGCTGTGAGTGTCAAGGGCAGTTGTGAAGGTCACAGTCCTGCTAGGACTTGCGTCCACCATGCCTGCCAGTGGTGTACAGCCTGCCTGGAAGCAGGAAGTTTGAATACAGGGCATAAACTTGTAATTTCATGGTTGGTCTCTCTCTCTTTTTGTTTATAGAAGATGAAATTATGAATCTGAAAGAGACGGTAGAAAAGGATCAGAAAACCATTCAAAGGGTACTGTAACTTTTTTACATTGATGAATGACTCTTTTAAATTAAAATATCAGCCCAATTGGCGAAATAACGCTGCGCCCCACTTGTCCTGTGATGTCAAGTCGATTTCTCATTATTCGGGCAAGGTCTTAGTAATGAATAAGGATTCTGTCTTGGTATTGAATTAATGTATAGATACTCCTTTTATTTGGGATAACTAAGAGTCTCTCTTGTTGATTGTAAGGAATCGAAAACTTACAGGGCAGGGAGGGCAGAGATGTGTCTGTGGAAAAATTATATTGTTAAGAGTGAGCAGTCAGATTCTCAGGTCAGATGGTGGTTTATGTTCATTTTTCGGTACATGAATTAACTGGGCTTACGTTACCCAGGAAGTTTGCATTTAGAACAGGGAATTCTTTGGTGTCATAAAGATCAAGATTTCCGAAAAAACCAAGATGGCGGCATAGGTTAACGCTGGAGTTTGCTGCCTCGAACAACCACTTCAAAAATACAACTAAAAGACCAATTGGCGAAATAACGCTGCGCCCCACTTGTCCTGTGATGTCAAGTCGATTTCTCATTATTCGGGCAAGGTCTTAGTAATGAATAAGGATTCTGTCTTGGTATTGAATTAATGTATAGATACTCCTTTTATTTGGGATAACTAAGAGTCTCTCTTGTTGATTGTAAGGAATCGAAAACTTACAGGGCAGGGAGGGCAGAGATGTGTCTGTGGAAAAATTATATTGTTAAGAGTGAGCAGTCAGATTCTCAGGTCAGATGGTGGTTTATGTTCATTTTTCGGTACATGAATTAACTGGGCTTACGTTACCCAGGAAGTTTGCATTTAGAACAGGGAATTCTTTGGTGTCATAAAGATCAAGATTTCCTAGTGCACTCAATGCAGCAGGACCCAGGCCAGGGGCTCTGCTTTGTGCTTTCTTAGCCCAATGTCCCGCCCCTACTGCAGCCCCCGAAACACTTTTCTGTGAGGTCCGTCTTCCCTGCGGTACCTTAGCCCCGCGAGGGCAGAGACTGCGCGCTCTTGGTCTCTGGCACAGTCCCAGTGCTGAGCACAGCGCGTGGCACACTTACTCACAAATACCCTTGGAGCCTTTCATAGCGTGAGAATGTACTTAGAATCCATAACATTTACAGAATTTACAGGTGAAAAAGTGGATTTACCTCCCTGAATTATTCTAAATAAACATACCTGCTTTCTATGAACTGAATCGAGTATCAGTTTCTAATTAAAAATTAATTAAAATTAGACAAAATTAACAGTTCTTCGATCATATTAACCCCATTTCCAGGGCTCATGGGCCTACGTTTAGGTTCAGTTTTCAACCTGATTTTGCAGTTTAGGGTATTCTTTTTTTTTTTTAAATATATTTTATTGATTCTCCACAGAGAAGAAGGGAGAGAGATAGAGAGCTAGAAACATCGATCAGCTGCCTCCCGCACACCCCCCACTGGGGATGTGCCCGCAACCAAGGCACATGCCCCTGACCGGAATCGAACCCGGGACCCTTCAGTCCGCAGGCCGACGCTCTATCCACTGAGCCAAACTGGTTCCAGCAGTTTAGGGTATTCTTATGTTTTAGGTAAAATTATTTCAAAAAAACTATATTTTAAAGACATGGCCACCCTGACGGGTCAGATTTGGGAGATGTTTTCTCTGGTAACTGAATCTGCCATACGTTTTCACAAAGTGCTTTCCTGTTCTTGTGCTGCACCCTGTTTGCAGTGGTGGCGGCAAAATCCCCTTCTCACAGAGCTAGCAGAGTCTGTACACAGACAAGTCTAAACTCGGCATCAAGCTCTAAGGTGGAAAATAAAATCTCAGCTTGACAGTGTCACTTAAGAATCTACAAGGGAACCGTCCCAGTTCATTTAAACGTTTCCCAAAGCTATTTCGTCTAGTTGTCACGTAGAGATAAGGACTATATGGACTATAATAGAAGTCTGCACATAGAGAAGAGATGCCTGGAAGGTTCTATGAAGGGTTTGCAAACAGTTCCACATCCGTCTCACACTCTTTTACTTGAGCTGATTTTTCCAGGAGGTAAGAGGGTAGAAGAGCTGGGTACATCAGAGTGTGATTACATCATGAGTGAGAGATGTTTGTGGGCCTGTTTGTGATTTGGTATGGCTAGGTCTGAGGCAGGAATCTGGGGAGACCATGTGGTGAGAATTTGTGGTGGGGTAGGAAGAGGGGAAGTTGGGGTGTGGGGTGTGGGGAAGAGGTACGCAGGAAATGGAGGAATGGAAAGGGCAGCTCGGAAACCTCTGGATAAGTCACGTGCTCCCTTTTTTCGCCATGGTTGCAATTAAATGCAAGTTGAAAACGGGACTGAACTTGGGAAGGCTGACCTCTTACCGCCTGTCCGAGCTAAAAATTATCCATTATGTAGCTTCACTGTTTTAGTTCCAATAATCTAACAACAGCTGAATCTGTATTCCAGCTGTGGCCACAATAAGAATTTCTTTCTGGGAGGGAGACAGACCAGCAGTCAGAGATTACGGCCCAGGGTGTGGTTGGCTTCAGGAGGCAGGTGGCACCAAGTGCACAGTGGGCACGCCCAGCCTGAGGAGTGCGGGGCCAGGGAAGGTTGGAGGAAGGGCACTGAGCTGACTCCTGAAAGAGAGGTTGGAATTCCAGGCAAGGATGAGGGGGAGGTGGCCAGGGTAAGAAACATGCCAAAGGGAAGTAAATGTGTGTGGTTTGCAATAGCTGAAGGGCACCTGAGAATAAGGGGTGTTGGGGAGCAGGGCACCTGGTAGAGGATTATGATTCATTCCAAGAGGTTTGAATGACCTTCCTTGTGCACTGGGGGGCTCTGAACATTGGGGCAGGATCCGATGTGTGTTTCCTAAAGAAAACACATGGGAAGGAGGAAAATCCAGAGCGAGAGAGATGAGTTAAGAGTTACTTGGAGAAAGCATGGAAACTATACGATCCTGAAACAAAAGGAGGACAGTGACATTGGGGATCATGGGAAGGGATGCACTCAAAAGATGATTCGGCAGCCATGGCTCTGGTCACGGGTAAGGTTGGAGGTGAAATGATAAAGGAGAGAGAGGGAGGGAG